AGTAAAAAAAAAAAAATAGAAAATGGTAACATAAAGAGTGAGGGGTCTAAACAACAATAAGAGAGTTAAAATAAGTATTTATATAGTTTTGACTCAGAAGAAAAAATGATTATATTGATTGAATATATCTGATAACCATTTATTTTATTTATTTCATTTGATCTTAAATTTGAGGTTATATAAAAGTTGGTGAAAAGTGACAACGCTTAATTTTTATAATAAATGCACAATTATACAGCTAAATATTTTATAATAAAATTAGCATAATGTGTCAATTATTGTTTAACTTTTGTTTATAAACAAATCTTTTTTTTAATGAGAGATTGATGAGAGTATATTATCGCAACTGAATGTTGTAGTGATAAATGTTATCATCCGACTCGGCAAGACGCTGTTAAGAGGTTTTGCACATCTAATTAAACGCGATTAACAGGCAAACCGACATGAATCATAACCGTGCCGATCTACACCAAAGAACCGGTCTGAACCACCGAAGACCGAAGTGACCAATGATTACCGAGGTCAACACCCATCGAAGACAACATGAACCGAGGTCGCCACTTCCTTAAGCAGGTGACAAGGCATCTACGTGAGGTCCTCCTACTCCACAAGATCTGTCATCATTTACGTGGGACCCCCTGCCTCGAACCGCTCATGAAAAGCTACTTTATTCAAAAAGTATTACGCGGATCCCGATGCCTCAACCCAAAACTACTATAAATAGCGGACCCATGACAATTGTAAATCTCTCTCGATTGAGATATACAGGACCGAACTGTAAACCCTTTATTACGTAACGCGAAAAAGCCCATCACGGCTCTTCACCTCGGTTCACCTCGGACCGGGGCCATTGTTGATTCATTCTTACATGCTTTACGTTAAAATCACCCCAAATTACTTCCTTAATCATAGAGTAAATCGTTGTTACTAATCACATAACAACAATAAAGTTAAACACAACTTATTATAATGAATCCACTACTTTTTTCTTATCATCTATCAAAATGTTAATTTCGCAATAATATGTTTTTAATATATTTTATATAATATAATTTAAATTTATTTTTCGTATTACTTTACAAAAAAGTTTGTCAATTTTTATTTCTAAAAATTACATTGAATTATCATTTTCACCGATTTCCTGGAAAAATAAGTAGTTTACTATATTACAGTTCTCATTGAAATTAATAATAATAATAATAATAATAATAATAATAATAATAATAATAATAATAATAATAATAATAATAACAACAACAATAATAAGTATTTTAATAAATATACAATTTTGCAGCAAAAATTTTATAAATAAAAATAGCATAATGGGCAATTATCATTTAATTTTTGTCCATATCAAAAATATTTTTTTTTTCTCATAAGATAATGATGAGATCATAATATTACAATTGAACGTTGTAGTAGATAAAGTTAACCACAAACTTATTATAATGCATCAACTGTTTTTTCTTTATCATGTATCATAATGTTAATTTTATTTTATCTCTTTTAGATTTTACATAATATAATTTCAATGTTTTTTTTTGTATTACATTACAAAATTTTTTGAAGTGTTTTACTATAATATATTGAATTATAATTTTCAATGGTTTTATGCACAAATAAGTATTTTAATATTACATTGAATTACAATTCCCATGAATTTCATGAAAAAAATAAATATTTTAATATTGAGTTAATGAGTCTATTTATGACTTTATGAAAAATGATCAATCTTTCACGTCATTCTATAATCACCATCGCACTTAATTTGTGAAAAAACGAAGTTGAGATTTATTTGTTAATAAAAAGTAAAAAAACATGTAGACTTAATTTAAAATTAAATACATGCAGATAGAAGTTATTTTAATTTTTTCATCTTCTTACATGTTAACATTATTATTCAATATTAGTTTATTTGTACAATAGTAATTATGACTTTATTTTCTTTTCTGAACTATGAAAATTATGTTATCACATATACATTTTTATGAAATTTTTTAAAGAAGAGTCATTAATGTGACCAATATTTTTTTTTATGGTATATCACATTTTTGTAAGCTTAAAAATTTAATTTTAAAAATTTTCAAAACAAATTATATTGGATTTTATAATTTCTTTTTTTGTTAATTGTTATTGTTTCTAGAGTCACAATCCATATTGTATAATTATTGTTATTATTACTATTACTATTGGTGATACATGGTTCACCTTCTATTGATGTTATATTTGTGGAAGTATTTTTAAATGGATTAATAAAAAATTTATTCTACATTATCTCAATAATTTTTTTTTAAAAAAAATTCTATTAAATTTTCATTTATTCGCACCATTTTTAATATTAGGCCGCGCAACGCGCGGGTAACGTACTAGTAATATATTGATGTACAAAGAACAAACAAATAATATTGTGTACAAGGATGTGTTTAATAATATATAAGTTACTTTTTGTTTTATTCCAATACGTTTTACGTTCTTCAAATCATTCAATCATCCAAATTTAAATGCTTAATTTATCATTTTAAGTAGAAAATTTCATTATCATCTCCTCATTGAGAGTCACAAGTCACCTCAACAGTCACCACTCAACTGATAAGTAAACCACAGCAAAGAAAGGAAAAGAAAGAACAAGAAAATGTTTCTCACTCAAAAACTCCCCAGAATCCATTCACATTTCTCCATATCCACGCTCTCATCTCCTAAACCCCAAAAGCTCTTCTTCATCACTTCAACTCTCTTACCCAAATCCAAACCTGGACCCGACCCCACACCCCTATCACACTTCTCCACGGCTGTCGTCTCCGCCGCACCGCCGCCGCAGAAACAGGGAATCCTGCAATTGTCCCTGGAGAATCTCTTCCTCCCGCCGGACACAGACGTCTCGTCCCTCCGGGACACGCCCCTGAGCGCGAGGGTCCTCAAGGGCTCCAACATCGTGCTGAGCAAGTACGCCGGCGAGGGCGCGGAGGTCGACAGCGCCGAGTTCGTCAAGAGCAGCGTAAGGACCGAGGACTGCCCAGCCGACGGGTCGCCGGAGTTCGCGCTCGTCGGGCGGTCCAATGTCGGGAAGTCGTCGCTGCTCAATTCGATCGTTAGGCGCAAGAAGCTCGCGCTCACCTCTAAGAAGCCAGGTGTCGAACAGATTGCGTGCGTGTGTTCTGTATGCCTTTTGCTGTCGTATTTGTCTTGGTTTTCCATTAATGATGCAATACTCGAGTTAATTTGTTCGCGTGTAGTTTGTACTGTACCTTTTTGTTTCAACACTTGGTCAGTTTCAGCATCGCAGTATTAATGTAACAAACATACAATAAAAGAGTGTTGAGATTGAAAAATTCAAATATGTACACAATTTGTTCTTTCTAGGATTTGGTATGTTGCAATTAATTTTTGCTGTAATTTGAAGAAGTTTCGGTTTTCGACTCTCAATCATTTTAAGCTCGTTTATTTCGAAAAGCACAAGGAGTATGCTGTGAATTTCATCTTCTTTACCTTGTTTTATTTATTGAGGAATCAACTATTGAAAATCAGTTAAGTTATTGTATCCTTCATGTAACAATAGTGTAATATGTTGACCTTTGCAGGGAAAACACAATGCATCAACCATTTTCGCATCAATGATAGCTGGTATCTCGTGGACTTACCAGGCTACGGGTACATATAGTAAATTGATTATGTAAACTTGCCCTTTTGTTTTGAACTTTCGCTGAACGAACGTGATGAGTAAGAGATTGTTAAAGAAAAGTGCCACTTTGACATATTGACGAAAAGGTGACGTAAAATGTTGTGGAAGTAAGTGTAGGGACTGTTGATTCCGAATCTGATGTGATGGGTCAAACAACACGATCCTGCCATGTGTGTATAATGTAATGTCAAGTGTGTCATCTGTTAAGTTCACGCACCGTGACTTTTAAAATCCTTAGCAGCTAGATTATAAGCCACTTTCACTCGGATTTTCAATGTAGGAGTCTAGCAAGGTTGAACTTTTATCTAGTGCTTCAATTTATATGGAACAAACCTCCAATTGACACGAAAAAACATTGTTATTGGCATGCGTGATTATTAGTTGCTCGTTTGTGTTGGATAGGTATGCAGCTGCACCACACGAGGTTCGAACAGATTGGGCGAAATTCACCAAGGACTACTTCCTCAACCGCCCGACCCTTGTCTCAGTATTTCTTTTGATAGATGCAAGCATCCCTGCAAAGAAGATTGATCTTGAGTACGCCAGCTGGTTGGGTCAAAATGAGGTTACTCGTTTATTATATTCTCGCACCAAATTTTTCAGGACTGGAGAAAGAATATTATCCCAAACAATCTTTTCCCCTCACCCTCCCTCCATAATTGGCTCAAATGTTCTATCATTTTTGTTGGCTTGTTACTCAGATTCCCATGACATTGGTATTCACCAAATGTGACAAGCGGAAAAAGAAAAAGAATGGCGGGAAAAGACCCGAAGAAAACGTGCAAGATTTTCAGGAACTGATATGTGATTTCTTCCGGACGGCACCCCCTTGGATTATGACCAGTAGTGTTACGAATCAAGGTCGAGATGAAATATTGCTGCACATGTCACAGTTGAGGAACTACTGGCTCAAGCATTAGCTTTATTCTGGACTATAAATTATAATCATTCGAAAGGATTTGTTATAAAAGTCACAATTTTTCCTTATAAGTGATAAGTGATAACCTCACAACTGACATTTTTCCTGACCAAGTTTATATCATAGATTGGCATTCTGTGAATGAGTTTCTATGAAGGGCTAACTGCACAAAATGCCCCTGAGGTTTAAATTGGCAACCCCGCTATTGAAAATTACAATTAGCTTCCTAGAAGGTTGTATTTATCAGCAACATTTATAGTATCTAGTTGTAATAATCAGCTTTATCAACAACTGCAACTTAAAATCGAAATGAACCCTTTAAAACAATTTTTTTTTTTTTTTTTTTTTTTTTTTTTTTTTTTTTATTTTCGTGATTTTTTTTTTAATATTTTTTTTTCCTAGAAGGTAAATCATTAATTTTGATCATTATCAATTTTTTCCTAGAATCGAACATAAAAATTCTCTCGCCTGAAAGCCCTAATTCTCTTGCCTGGAATCCCTATTCTCTCTTTGAGATCCAATTATTATCTTGAGTGAGATTCATCTAGGGATTCAGAGTATTTTCTTTATCTAATCGAATAAGTGTTGTAAGCAGTTGGGTTGATTCCAAAAGCGAGTGAGTAGGTTCTAAGTGTTGTAAGCAGTTGGGTTGATTCCAAAAGCGAGTGAGTAGGTTTGAGGAGAGTACATGTGGTGGACATGGCGCCGAGTAGCTCTGGGAATATAGGCCAGTTTGGGGAGGAAGGGGATTTGGAACAACGATTGAGAAATTTTTCTCTATCGGAGGCTAAGAATTCGATAGTGGACATAGGTCAACGAGACATCGAACCCAGTGAGAAGGAATGTAAAAGGAGTCTGTTTGGGTGTATACTGGAGGATAGGAAAGGAAGCTTGTTAGGGTTGAAAAGAACGGTGGGGCAGATATGACGTATTAAGAGGATAGTGGAAATTCAGAGGATAGTGGAAATTAGAGAACTCGGACAAAACTTTTTTCAATTCATCTTTGAAGAATAAGAAGACTTGCAGAAAGTGGCTTAAGGTACCAACTAGATTTTTGAAAACCAGTATATAATCTTACATAAATGGGTTCATGGTATCAGCAACAACCATCCTTGTTTCAATGAGCTTCATTTGTGGGTCCATGTGTGTAATGTGATGCTACATTGGCAAAGCACTGAGGTTGGGCTCAAATTCGGACAACTGTTCAAAGGGGTGAAGAACGTCATGTTATCTAAGGCACGCGATATAGGGGATGGAAGAGTCCTAAGACTTTTGGTGGCAGTTAATGTGAAGGATCCTTTGCTGAGGTGTGCCAATGTGCGATTGAGAGACCAGATTGTGAAAGTGAACTTTAAGTATGAAAAAAATTGTTGACTTGTGTTATTTTTGCGGGAAACTGGGTCACTTGGACAGGGATTGTAAGAGGAGACTTTAGATATAGCTCAGAATAATTTGCAAGATGGACAATTTGTGGAATGACTCAAAGTGGGAGAGGGGTCGACAAGACCAACAATTTACCAAATAGGTCAAGACGGATTCTATGGATTCCAAGCATACTGGCCCTCCCTCACAATAAATCCAACTCTTCAGCTACTCACTCAAGAGGGCGGGATACAGATCAAGCAGCTGGAAATAGGGGAGGTCAGTCTTCGAATTTAGTTGATGTTCAAATTCAGATTCATCTTATGGAAAGTCAGGGCACCGGCTGTTCCTTTAGGGTGACAGGATCCAATGTGAAACTCTTGCTAGGATCACAGAGAAAAAAGGTATGTTCTGATATTTCAAGTGGAAAAGAAATACTCCCGACTTCTATTTTTTGTTCCAAAATGATGTTATTCTATCCTAGATGATGTAACAACTATATAAGTTTTCACATATAAAAACGAATCCGAGTCAATAATATCTATCATGTAGGATATAATATATTGTTTGTGAAACGTATGCTGGGAGTAAATTGAGTACGCTAGTGTATTCGAACACCAAAATATAAGTGGAAATAATTAATTTAAAAATATCTTAGAGAGCGGCCCACTATCCCTGAGAGCTATTTAGTTAAAAGCTCGGTTTGCACACATAAAATACAGTTTGGATACAAGACTCGAAATTCCATCTAGTCTAGCCAACACTATACCCGAACCATTAACTAATCCTCTGGCCACGAACGTGTGGACTTCAAACTAGCTAAGGATCCCTCCCAGATATACTAGTACTTAATCCCTAAGTACGAAAAATGTTTGTAAAAATAGAAAACAAATCAAAGTTATTTAGTGGTGTAAGAATACTGAAAAACTGTTCACAAAAAGAGCTTGAAAAATAAATATCACCAACACTCAAAGAAGTTTTCAAGTATAACAAAATTCGATAATTGTAGTAGCATTTAATTGAGTATTTGTGTAGGTATATATATTCATTCTCCTCAAGACAATGAGTCTTCAATCTTCCTTCGTTTTGGAGTCTATCTTTCCTTCTTTTAACATCGAACTATGGTCGAGATCTTCATAAGTAGAAGCCAAGATCTTTATGTTCATTGTGCCTCGATCAACTTCCTCTTATCCTTGAGTCCGAGATCTCCTAAACGATAAAAACAAAGCGAGATCTTTATGCTCATTGTGCCTCGATCAACTTCCTTTTATCTTTAAGTGTGAGATCTCCTTAAAGATAAAAAGAATATTATAGAAATAATATCTTCACGTAAATAAAAACAAACTTTATGAAAATAGTATCTAGACTAATAAATAAAAAACAATATGTGAATCTTTCCTTTTTTTATTTTTTTTTTGCTTGCATAAAAGATAAGATATCATTTTCTAAATATCTTGACAAAAATAAAATCGTACATTATGTAGCGTCATTTGATAATATTAAACATAACTACTAACCATCCCTCCAATTTTTGTGTTTGCATTGCTATGAAAATGATTGTTCGAAATTATAATGGAAAATTTTAAGTGAAGACAAAAAATGACACAAACATCTTTTTTTTTTTCAAATTCAAAACTTTTTTTTTTGAAACGGCGGAATTCATTCATTAAAACAAGTAATTACAATCGGCTCACTAGCTGAAATAGGAGGACTACCCGAGGCAGCCTATAAACCACAACGTACACTACAAGACAAACAAGAAAATAAAAAACACCACAGGAGAATATACAAACTCTCCAAAGGAGAATAACACAACTCCCCATAGCAGGGGCGAAGCCATGTTAATTGCTTCCCGGGCTTTAGCCCGGGGAGACTTTTTGGAAGCATGTATATATATAATATATATAATATATACATATATATATATTATATACTTAAAAGTTATATAATTTAAATTGTATATATATATATATATACTTAAAACTTCATTAATTTTAATCATATATATAATTTAAATTGATATTTTTTTGGTACATAGACGAATTAAAATTGATATTGAACAATGTTTATTATGTTAGTCTAACTAATTAAAATATATAGCATAATAACATCAAATAAAATTATCAAACAGTTTTAAATTTAAATAACCATCTCATAAATATCAATTTATTTTTAGGAGCTTTAATTATGACAAAATTAAACAGTTCATTGAAATTTGAGAAATAATTGTCAACAAGTTAAATTTATTCCTAATAAATGTTAATTTTCTCTCTTTTTTATTTAAATCCTCTTGTTGTCATAATGAAGTGTCATTGACTTTTTTAAGTACAGTCCTAAATTTAAACTAAAAAAATATTTTAGTTAAACGAATATATTTCCAAAAAGTAGTTGTTGCAAAAACAATTAAAAATAATATTTTTTATCATAATTTTCCGCTACAATTTTAGCTTGGGTAAATTATAAATCCTAGTTCCGCCCCTGCCCCAAAGGAGAATAACACCACTCCTCTAAAAAAGGAGAAAGCAAAACACTAGTCACAAAACAACACACTACACAAACACAAACACAAACACAAACACAAAACAAACCTACATAAAATAACTAAGAATAAGCCCTCCTCTATAACTGACAAGCGTCCCGGCAAATCGCCACGACACCAACCATCTAGAGTCGTCACCCCCACAGACTGAGACCCGGTTCCACGCACCGAACTTGAAACTACAGCAAAGGCCTAACAATGTACAACACTCCAAACCCGCGGTCTCAAGAGGCTGACCACATACAGCTCGACACACCACAACAAGCCCCAACCCTCCACCCAACTCCGATAGCCGAGATCTGCCATCCCCGAAGCCACGAACCAACATTCCGACGGAGCCATCGTCCAACCCCAGGAACGACGGAGATCCGAGTATGCCGAGCATCAAACTCCGACCCCGAACTCATCGACACCTCCAGCAAATCCGACCAACGGACCCCGAATCTGAAAACCCCAACCGAAGGAGCCCTCCCCCAACACCAGAAAGACGGGAAAGCAAGGAGAGAAAAGGACTTACCGCACCCGGACCATCGGTAGATACCAAGCCGCAGAGGACCCTCCCTCTCCCAAGCCCAACCCACACCTCGGCGGCACCACCACAAACCCAGCGGCAACCAGGGAGACGACGAAAATCACCATGGCCGTGAGGTCCTCGAAGCGCTGGCCGACCGGGAGGAAGCACTAGCCGGCGGAGATGGTAGCGCGGTGGCGTGGCGTCGCTCCGCTGAAGAGGAGGCACACAGATCTCGACACATTACACTAAATTTTACCAGCAAAACGACGACATAGAGTAACTCTAAATATAGTCAGAAATAATAATTTGAAACTATAAGATTGTGTTTGTTTATAATAATAATAAAAAAAAAAAGAACAATCTCACCTCAAAATTTAACACAACTATAATTCAATTTTAACTCAACTCTGTTATCCTCAATATTATTAATATAATTAAATAATATTAAATAATTATTTTTATTTATCACTTCAACTTTAATTCATTATTCATCAACTCACTTAGTTTTAATATCGCGTCACTTATAATCACCTATCTTCTACTTTGCATCAAATAAATTTTAGTTATTTTATTTTAAATATTATCA